GGGTTTGTAAGGGTTTAGGGTGTAGAGTTTAAACAGTGAGGCTTCCGAGAACGGAGGTCGTTTTCGTTCCAGAAGGGTCTCTTCGGCTAGGATTACAGTAATTGGGTGGCTGTGGGCGGAGGCGCCCCGTGCAGGCACGCCCGGCGGTTCATCTTCTGAGACGACATTTCATCGGTTCCTCCGGCCGCGGTCGCCGGGGTGCCTGTATGCGGCTTCCTTGGATATTCGTGCTGTACGTACTCTTGCTGCCCCCGCCTACCTTCGTCCTACCTTCGGAGCTCTTTAAGTCGTGTGGAACTCCTGCTCGGCACAGTCCCACCCTCAGACCGCCCTATTCGGTTCCTGGCGGTTTCGGCAAACTCCGAATGCTGCCGCCGCAGTGCTGTGCAAATTTTCGGTGCGACTCGCGCCTCCGCCTCCAAGAATCCCTAAACCCTAAACCCTAAACCCTAAACGGTGACAATCGTGCTCGGGCCTGGAGCCAGTGTGCGCCTGGAACGTTTCCTAGATATGCAGCGCATGGCCCAGACTGCAAAGCGTCCTTTCAGTGCGTTTTGAGGTGTATCTTGGTTTTCATGGGTTCCATGCTCAAAGAGGGCATTTGCGGTGTTTGCTTTGGTCGGGCCTTGCTGGCATCACATAGTAGGTTTGCATTGGTTCTCATGCTTTCAAGAGTACCACTTGGAGGGTCGGGAGACTTAGTAAATGATTATTTCATAGACTTATAAGTACTATAACCCCAATTAGGGTCCCTTTTAGGGTACTTATAAGTCTACTTATTACCTACTTACTAAGTCTCCCGACCCTCCAAGCAGGGTTTGAAAAGTACCTGGCTGGCTGGCTGGGTCCTGTAGGGCTAACTCGGAGTCTCAGGGTTCTGCTTGACTCTTAAGCCACAAACCCAAGTGAACCTAGGGTTTAGGGTTTAGGGTTTAGGGTCTGTTTTTCCATACATTTTCTCTTCGCAGGGGGCCCGAGGGTCTAAAGTTCAGGGGTGCTGGGCTTAGGGTTCATAAAGGATAGCTTTACCTGGAGTCATGCGCACGTCATGTCGGAGTCACATCCATTCGGTGCTAGTGGCATCCCTTGATTTTGCCCGTTTAGCCTTTTGATATCCCTTGTTTTTACGAACCCATGGAGGCATAAAACGTCGAGAAGCCTTCGCAAAGTCCCACCCTGTTAAGCATTAGACAAGCGCGAACCTCCCGTCCTAAGTCAATATTTTCCATCTAAGGTTAGAAGTATGGGCCCCTAATATGGGCCCTTAGGGGGTTCTAGGGATCCTTAAGGGTACATATAGGGTACACAGTAGATATATAAGGATCTCAGGGTTAAGGGCCCATACTAGGGGCCCATGGCTTCAAACTTAGATTCCGGGCGTGGGTTTTAAGGGCGCCTTTCCCACAAGCCGCAGCCACCAATGCCCTAAACCCTAAACCCTAAACCCTAAACCTTAAACCCTAAACCCTAAACCCTAAACCCTAAACCCTAAACCCTAAACCCTAAACCCTAAACCCTAAACATGGCAGGCAGTCCCTGATGGAGGCCCGGGTAGATCCTCGTTTCGTCGACGCCTATCATAAGCAGCCTGCCTGCATTCAAGGCTGTAGCATGTGATAGGGAAAGAAAAGAGGGGCTTTTCACGATATTCAGCAGGAGTCGGGGTCGAGGGTGCAGACTCTGCATCTGGTAAAAATTCTAAGGCTTACTGCTTCCGCCCCTACTCACCACCTCCACGGGTGTGCTTGGAACATGGTTGATTGGTGCGGCCAGGGCTGTCGCCGTTGGTTGGTTGTTTGCCTACATCAAGACGGTACGCTGATCACATCTGCCTCGGAACCCCAGCGTCCCCAACGCCCAGAATGTTTTTCAGGTATTCAGGCGCGGACGGCTGGATACCCCGAGCCTTTGTGAACTACTTTGCGGCCACCCCCCAGGGCAACACCGCAAAGGATACCTTTGGGTTCAGAGCGGGAGACCTTTGTGTATTCATCGTTTCTGTTGTTTTTAGGGCTCTGGGTTTAGGTTTCATTTTATTTGAGATTCAGGAATTCTGGATATTTGTTATTAGGGTCCATTAGGGACTTAGGTTTAAGGGTAGCAGCCAAAAGAGAAAAACAACAACCCTGGTAGCACCGCGGGAACAAATAAGGCAAGAGAATGCACAGCGTTGAAAGTAGTAGCAGCAGGACTAATGATTGTAGCTACGGGGGGCAATATCATTGCGCCGGCTCGCGGCTTTGGAGGTCTTGTGTTTTCAGGCTTTCCCAAACCCCCAAAAGGATCTAAAAAATAGATCCCCTAAGGGGGTTCCTATAAAGTACCCTTTAGTAGTTAGGGTCCCTAATTAGGGGATCTATTTTAGATCCTTTTGGGGGTCTGGGTTGTGGTTTAGGGTTTTTTCGCCCTTGAGGTCCCGACAGCCCAACAGACGTCCCAAAAACCTTCGTCTTCAACGGTTTAGGGTATAGGGTTTAGGGTTTAGGGTTTAGAGTTTAGGGTTTAATACCACTTCCCTGGCTTCTAATATGAGGCCACCTCAAGCCCCTGTCCGAGAGCCTACGCCGGAGACCCTGATCGAAGCGTTCATCGTCGGTGCGACTAATATAGAAGCCTGAAGGGTCTGAAATATGATTCCTTCATAATATACAGATACACCACAACCTTACTCTCGCCAGTAAAGCCGCTTGTGTTAGAGAAGGAGACCATCGAGCTCATTCGATCGATCCACCTCTTCTCCGAATATCCGGTGGTAGCAGTGCCACTCGCATGCCAATGGCAAGGATGAGTTGAGATTGTTTGGGTTCTTCCAGGTTTAGGGTTTAGGGTTTAGGGTTTAGGGCCAAACCCTAAATCCTAAACCCTAAACCGGAAATCTGGGCGGCCCCTAAACCCTGGACTACGAAGCCCGGGGCCTGCGAGCGCGGGGCTCACAGACCTCGCCCGGGCCCTCTGTTTTGGGGGTCTGTGAGTTTGTCAGGAACCTCACGTATGTCCCTTACAGCCCTCTTCCTACTCATCAGCACCACTCACAGAACGCTCACAGACCCGTCCTCTACTAGATTCGCTCACAGACAGCTCACGCACATATCTCAGCGATTTGCTTGCAAGGTAGTGCAACTCTTCAGAGTATTGATGCCGTACGCTTTTACACTCCCTGTATAGCTGTACCACGAACAGTATACCCTAAAAGCCTGTTCTGTGTATACCCAGAGCACCCAATACCCCTTAATTAAGGAATATACCTTAAATTATAGGGGCCTTAATATTATGATTTAAGCTATATTCCTTAGTTAAGGGGTATTGGGTTCTCTGGATAAAGGCTCTCTTTTTGGCACCCTAGGACCCCTGGGCTCAGGAACTTTGGCATGTCTATTCCGGACGGACTGGATCCGCAAGAGTTTCCTCGCTTGGTGCCCATGCCAGACTGATGGAGGGGTGTACAACTGTTCCGTTGTCTTTAAGGGGTTTGAGGGTTGAAAGAGGGGTTTGGGGTTTAGGGCTTGGGGTTTAGGGGCTTGAATGCGGTGCAGCCCGAGAGCGCTGTGGGGTTTTATAGTGGCTTACATGGTTTTGGAGGCTTTTGTGTGTTGAATAAGGCATTGGCAGGGTTTCAGATTCCGAACCGTCTAAACCTGATGCTACCTTGATGAGGAAATGACCCTTAAAAGCAGGGGCCCTATACCCTTATACTATGAATCCCTATATGGTATATTATATGAATCTTCAACCCTTTTAGGGTTCGTTTCGTCCTTAAGGTATCCGGAGCTCAAACCTTGTGTGGCATCTCCCGGGGCTTCGAACATATAGGGCTTTGGGTTTAAAGTTTAGGGCTCGGGCTGGTAGTGCGATCACCCTGACGCAACATCTCAAACACACATCTCCATGCTGTCCGAGGCCGTTGCAACCAGAAGCCTGAAATGTCGCAAGATTCCCCGGGGACCCATCACCCCTTAGTTCAGAAACCGTCTGTGCACCATGGTATGTGTTTTCATCGCTTCAAGAAGCTGACTCCATAAAGGGTTTGCCTTCGAGTGTTTTCAAGTTTTAGAACGTACTGTAGGGGCCTAAATAATTACCAATACTATTTTGGGGGTTCCTTACTATAATTCTACTAGAATGGGGCCCAGCCCTTTTAAAAATCATTAAGGCCCCTAAATTATCCGTAGGCTTGGCCCGTTTGGCTTTGCCACCGGGAAATGTGGGTTTCGACTTTTGGGTTTCGGGGTGCCATAAACCGTCGGGGCCTCAATAGGGGTTCCTTGTTCTAATTATAGGGCCCCCATATTAGTTTTGGGGTTCCTTGATATGATTATAGTATGGGCCCCAAACCCCATTCTTATTATTAAGGCCCCTATATGTCTATATTAGTACAGCCGAACATCCAGGCATGTCAAAGTACCTGGCTGCCACTACACATGTGCAGGGACAACAAGGATCTATAAGGTTTCGTGGGACCTCATGTAGTAGCAGGCAAATACTTAAGTTCGGGCCAATTTGGAAAAACCAGCCTCAACACCCTGAAAGCTTGATTTTGAAAGGGATGTTTTGGCCTTGGTCAGGTACTCTTACACGCACGACCCCTGGATGCTGCCGACAGGAGCCCGTGCAACGCAGTCCTAAACCAGCGAATGCTTCATCAACCACCGAAGTCCCAGACTTGCTTGCAAAGCCTGTACGTCCGTCATGCACTTGCCCTAGACATAACCACGAGAAACCCTACACCCTAAGCCATGAACCCTAAACCCTAAACCCTAAACCCTAAACCCTAAACCCTAAACCCTAAACCCTAAACCCTAAACCCTAAACCCTAAACCCAAAACCCTATTCCCTAAACCCTAAACCCTAAACCCGCCGAGCCGCTGTTTTAAGCTGAAGGCCGCAACACTGAGGAAGCTGACTGACTTCGGAGCCGATACCGCTGTCGGGCTTCGGCTGTCTAGGGCTTAAGGAGTCTAGGGCTTAAGGGCTTCTAGGGTTTAGGGTTTTGAGTTTAGAGTTTAGGGTTTTAGGGGTGAGTTTAAGGGTTTAGGGGTTTAGGGGTTTAGGGGTCTAGGGGTTTAGGGTTTAGGGTTTAGGGTTTAGGGTGTAGGGCTTTTTGGGTTCGGAAGCCCGGAATCTCTGGGCCCCTTCAAACATCCTGCAGCCCGAGAAGCCCCCAAACCTGGGGTTTTGGGTTTAGGGTTTAAGGTCTAGGGCCCTTCTAGAACCTTGGAGTATCCATACAGCAGCTGCATCGACGCTCTCCCCTTCGGGTTTCTGGCTTGGGGCTTCCGGGGCTTTCGGGTCTACGAAGCATCGAAGAGTCCGGGCTTTTTTTCTGACAGGGGCTTCGCGTTTTAATCGGTCGAAAGCCCTTCGTAGTTCAGAGATTGAAACTATCAATGTAGGGTTGTTTGATTCTGTGACAGAAAACGGCGTCAAGCCAACGACTTTGAGGAGCCTCCCCTTAACCCCAAGCCGAAGCCTCGCTCCACTGCGTCTTACACACCATCCAAAGCTTTCTGCATGGCATCCCTGTACCCCTAAACCCTAAACCCTAAACCCTAAACCGGACCTTTCGATCCTAGGCCTGAAGCGCGGCTGCATCAAAAAACAAATCCATAGCACGGGTGAAGGCTTCAGGCTAGCTTTGGGGGATAGGGTATACGATATATCTTGCAGTACCCATAATAAGGAATATACCATGATTCCCCTAGTTTGGGGTCCTTAAGGTAATGCAGGATTTATATCATCAACAGTATAGGTTTTCGAGCTGGGTTTTCGGATGATATTCTTAGAATCGACAGCTATCCCGAAACTGCTGGCTAAGACCCAACAGTGAAAGCGAAGGGACACTGCAACAGTTCCCCTCGCGAGCAACTGCTAGAACACATGTCGCATTCTGCGATTCCCCGAACTTCCTGGATCCACTCCGGTGCAACAAAGTGGGACCCAAACACACCGAAACCCTGAACCCCAAAACCTCAACCCTAAACCCTCGAGCCCGGAAGCCCGTAACCGACAAAGTACGCCCGACCCTCTGCAGCCCCCCACGCTTCTGCTTGGCTGCCTTCGCCCGGGCACGGACCTGGAGGCGGGAGAAGCGCCTGAGCCCTTTGCCTCAAACTTCGGGCCACGGCGTCCTCTGTTACGGTTGAAGGTTTAGGGTTTAGGGTTTAGGGTTTAGGGTTAATGAATGCTTAGGTTTAGCATCGGCTTACACCCAAACCTCGAAAAAGACTTACTAGGACCCTCTCATCCATAGAAGCCTTGAGTTCCGAAGCCTCCCAAGCCTTGCAACCTCCTGGAGGGCACAATACGAGTATAGCAAGCTGAAGGCGTGAAATGATCTCTTGGCTCAGTTGATAGAGACGCCTTGACTCCAGAGCTTTGGATGCTCTGAACGACATATCTTAAACTCTTCTGAGACTGATACAAAGCCTCAAAAAGCCGAGATAAGCCCGACCCGTCTGAAGCCCCCACAGAAATCCTTACAAAGCCCTCTAAGACCCTTGCAGCACCCTGTAAACTCCCTGAAGACCCGTCTAACCCTCTTCCTTGTAAACCACGACAAAAACCCCCAATACCCCGAAAAGACCCTCACGGCGCAATGCAAAAGCACCTTCTTCCGCTTCTGGTCGGCCTTCACTGCCCTGAGAAGCCAAAAGGCCGCCAGAAAGGGCTTCTAGCTGAGGGTTCTTAAAAGACGGGGGGTTATGCTTTGAGGATTCTCACCAAGGGTTTCGGGCTTAGGGTTCTTCGAAAGGTTTAGGGTTTTGGGCGTTAGGGTTTATTGTGTTGGGGTTGGGGCCTGAGGCTGCTAGGGTTTGGAGTGTTTGACGTTCGTGTAAAGGGTTCCTAGCTAAGGTCCCTGTATAGTTTCCGAAAAGCTTCAAAAGGATCTAAAATGTTTTAAAATGTAGAGGTTTTTGAGGTCTACTGTAATGTAATGCTACTACACGGATTGAGGGTTTAGGATTTGGTTTAGGTCTTTAACGCTTAAGGTTGCTAAACGGATTTAGGGCTCACTTCCTTGACCCTCCAAAGCTCTTCCTGAACTAAGGCCTTGAACCACTGTCGGGCTGCTCGAGGCTTTCTAGGTCTATAGGAGATCGAGGGTTGTGGGTGGGGCTTTGAGGTTTAGGGTAGTAGGGGTCTTCAGATCTTGGAGCTTCCAAGCATCCAAGCCTAGCGTACAGGGCTAGGACTTCGGGATTGACTCTCTCAAGGCAGCTCCGGGCACCGGCGAGCCCCGAACACCAAATCCCAAAACCTGAAACTCCCAAACCCCTCAACCCTAAACCCTAAACCCCAAAACCTGAAACTCCCAAACCCTCAACCCTAAACCCTAAACCCCAAAACCTGAAACTCCCAACCCCTCAACCCTAAACCCTGATCCCAAAAGCCTGAATCCTAAACCTCGAATCCTGAACTTCTAAACCATAGCTTCGCGGCCCCGACCCTCTGTTCGTCGTGGATTTGCTCTTGGCAACCTTCGTCTTCTTGACCTCGGAATGGAAAGGGTTTAAGGTTTAGGGTTTAGGGTTTAGGGTTTAGGGTTCAGGGTTTAGGGTTTGGGGTTTAGGGTTTAGGGTTCAGGGTTCAGGGTTTAGGGTTCAGGGTTTTGAGTTTTGAGTTTTGGGAGCTGGGGTGATTGTAGGGTTAATGGGTTTGGGGAGTTTGGGAATGAAGAGTATGAAGTCCACAGTTTGAGGATCTACTGTTGTGAAATTGATGGTTTGGGTTTGAGGACGACGATTTGTGAGTTTCAATCTCGACTAATTAGGGTCCTGTTCGTTTCTGAAACTGCCATGATTACGACCGAACACCCTGAACTCCTGATATTGGCCCTAAGTAGAAATACGCCGAATACAGGGGTCCTTAGTCAGACATTTAGCATCATAGCAAACTCCTTGGAAAACTGGATGACGACGATGATTCGCGCTGAACATGCCTTTGCCTTACCTTAACCGCAATGGGCTTATTAATTCCTGAAAGCCTAAATCCTGGGCACTCAGCCCCAAACAAAGAAACTCCTGCCCTTCTGCTGCTTAAGGCTCCGAGAGACTCGTTGGTCTGTGTCGCGCGGGGACTCAAGCCGGAGAAACTCAGAGAGCCAACCCTAAACCCTAAACCCTGAAACCCTACGGCCCCAAAAACCCCTGTACCCTGACCGCTGCTATCTTTGGACAATCTCTGCAATCTTCGTTGGACAAACAACCTTAGCAAAAGTTGCCAGAGTGGCGGCACCCTTGGGACCGGACATATTTACCCATGCCAGGCAGAAGCACAACGGACAGAGGACAAAGTTTCGGAAGTGCAAATATCGAGTGATTAGGCTTTTGGATTTAGACTGGGGTTTGGAGTCCTGGATTTGGCCAAAATGGGTGTCATAGCCGTGGCCCTACATGTGGTCGGGCTCAGGAAACCGTCGCTAATGCTTCGGAAATTTAAAATATCGGTGGGGTGCTGCTCTTCCCGTCGCCTCGTCCTTGTTACCTCGTACGGCCGCGAAAGGCGCCGGTCGGTGTGCATGGCTTGAAGCTAGAAACACAAACGGACGGCGGACGCGTGCAACGCGCCGGAACGACCCCTAAACCCCAAGCCCTAAACCCTCAACCCTAAGCCCTAAAAACCCTAAGCCCTACACGAAGTCCAGGGCTCCTTTGCTCCTAAGGCCGGCAGAGCAACACAGCCTGTGACACGTCTCAAAGTGTTTATCCCCAAATTCCGTGTTCTTTGTGCAAAGTGGCGAGCTCAAGAATCCAGTATATTTCGTAGGAACAGGGCGAACTGAGAAATATTGAGAAAACAATCCATATGGAATCGAGATGCATGCATTCCGTAGAACACAAAGCCGTCTGAATGGCATCAAAAGGTCTCAAGCAGATTCTTTTCCGTGGGGAAAACCACAGTTCGATGAACGATGGTAAGGCGAGGACTCTCACCATGCACGTTTGCATAGACATATGGGAGTTTCCGAAAACAGGGGACCCTAATATAGTCCCCTAAAAAATAGGATCCTTATTATAAGGACCCCAAACTACGGTACCCCTAATTTTCGGAAACCCCCATATGCACCGTGGTAATGCGCATACAGCAGGCCTGAGAGCCAAGGAGCCGCCTGGTTCGAAGGGCGCTCAAGGCTTTCAAAGCTCAGCTGAAGCTTAAGGGTTTAGGGTTTAGGGTTTGAAGTAGGGTTTAGGGTTTAGGGTTTAGGGTCTATCGTGCTGTGCCGAAGAGGTTGTGCAGAGGAACGCAAGCTCTTCAGTTTTAATGCCACTTACACAACAAGGCCCAACAAGCCAGTCGTGCGACGATTGCGTTGACTGCCCTGTTTAGAGTTGAGAGTGTTGGGTTTCGGTTTTTGGAAATCTCCTTTTTTCACGTCATGCCACACAAAGGGGCAAGGACCACGAAACTATTCAGAAGAACGAAAGCTGCGCCAGGAATCTCTGAACAAAAGACATATACGAGGAAATGTCAAAGAGCAATCCGAGAATACATTTCATATGAATCACAGACACGTGCAGCTCACTGTTCCGACATGTGACATGTGACATGACTGGCAAGCTCAATCCCGTGATTGGAGCGGAATTCAGATTCGAGAGGCACATCTCGAGCTTCATGCCCAGTCCGACCAGTCGAGAGTGTGCCAAATCACCAGGGTTGGGAAGGTGCGAGCCTCAAATCTCACCACTTGACTCTTGTGGCTGCAAGACATTGTGCATGATTGTTATGTTCGCAAGCAGCCAGCTGAACTCCAACGAAAGATTCGACCAACAAAATTTCTCTTCAAAAAAGTTTCAAAAAGGGAAAAGGAATCGAACGATTTCTTTTGCTGCCACAAAAGAAGGTGCACGCAGTGCATCTAAGCACATGAGTTTGACGAGCGCGTGCGTGCAAGTCAATCCATCCCACCAACCACCCCATTTCACCTTCTGCTTCAGCCACCGTGACGGAAGCAAACATTGAAATCCGAAGAAAATCCGAAGTGCGTCAAACACCCATGCAGAGCATGGGTTGGAGTTGGAGTTGAATTTTGTTACAACCTCGGTCCCCAGCCGGGAGGTGGGAAATAGTCCCTACTACAACAGGAAGCCCGATAGTGCAACCAGAAGCCCTGTACTGCAACCAAAAAGTGGACTCTACCACAACTGAGCAGCTATACCGCAAAAAGGTTCCCTACTACAACTGGAACGTTCTTTTTGTTTAAGTTTAGCGCAGGGTTATGTAAAGAGTATTCTGTTGTTAGAGTTGTTGGAGCATTGTATAGCGCTGTCGAAAGTTTAGCAGGGTCTACAAGGGCATCCTCACAAGTCTGCAGGGACTTTTTCAGGGCATCCTTGCAAGTTTGTGTCCTTACAAGTCTTCATCCAAAACCTTTTGTTTGATATTTACGTGGTTTTGAAAGAGTATACATGTTCTTGCCTTCAATTCAAGCGACATTTCCGACACTGCGTGAAAACAAA